TGTTAAAGTCGAATTGTCACCACGGAGGCTTTGGATCATTCGAGCATCAACGTCAGCACGAGCTTGAAAACTTTTCTCCTTTCTTTTTAATTCGTCCACGGCCTTTTCCAGCAGAACCAACCTTTCTGCAGCAACAAGGCTAGCTTGAACACTCTGCCAGATTAAAACAAATTTTTCTCGTCAAAAGAAGGATTAAATTTGTACAGGTACCGAGCATTTACAAAACGACGAGGTACCTGGAAAGCAAAAGCCGAGGAAGCCAATGCCAGGCCAGCTGAAGACACATCCGAAAATACAACAGATGAGGAGGAAAGCAGGACTTGAGGCATTTCACTTCCCATCACAAGAGCATCCTTCAAACAGCAAAAGTCACGAGAGAAAGAAGCATTCATCTTCACGCCAGAGTCAGCATTGGTGGCAGCACTCACTGGACGAGGAGGAGCAGATTTCATCTCTGTATTTGGGCATTGTGGAGTTTTGGAACAACCAGAGGCCAACTTAGATGGGACTTTCTTCTTTCTTGAAACAGTTGTGAGAAGGGAAGGTATATAAACATTCTAAATAAAGCAACATTTGACGAATAAGTGAAATAGCAGGAACAAGTACCAGCGTGTTGTGCAGAGCGTTTCGCTGGAAGAGAACAGGAGTCTTGACCACCGGGAAATACCATTTGAAGAGGAACAAAAGCACTTGCATTTTCACCTCCGCCCCTCGAAGTGTCGGATTCTGAATCATCCACAGAGACCGCGCGTGAACCTTGGACATCGTCAGGGACATTCTGAATATTACGACGAGAGCGCCTTAATCCAACGGACCGAGAATGGTCAGGAGTGGGAGACATACCTTCATTATCAACCACTAAATTCCCAAAGGACCGTTCGGCAGTAGTTATAGATAAAATTTTGGCAATTCTTCCTTCAGAGTCTGGACCATAGCTCAAAGGGATAGTCTTCCTATCTAAAGAAAAAAAAACAGCAACAACGGTAATTTAGACGTATTGCAGACCAGCCATATATCAACTGAATACATTTGAAATTCATATAGCAAGAAGTTGTCAAGATACCTTTGTGTAAACTCTCTTCAAGAAATGCGCCCTCAGAACCTAGGGAATCTTTCTGCACAAAGAAGAACTGGCTCATCCAGCCACGGTCATTAGCTTTGTCCGCCCTCAATATCAGCGCTTCACGAGCATCTTTAACAGCCAGGGTAAACCGACCAGCTCTAGAAGAACGAAGATCATAGGTAAAACCCAGATCTTCGAAGGAGAAGGGGATGCTGTGTTTTTCGCTTAATACTTCTAAACCACGCAAGACCCTCCATACTTGTGGCATTACTTGGGAAGGGGAAACCTTGACAAAGACCAAGAAATCTCTAACTAGGGAAGAAAAAGGGAATTTCATACCAATCTTGAAGGGGTACATAAAGAAGTTGACCCAACCATCGCAATGCCAATCAACCCGTTCGTTAGCGGCCGGAAACCGGATGGATGCATGCGCTGGAAATCCGGAACCATTCTTGATAGCTTCGATATGATTCTCCGAGAGTTTAGCCTGTTTTGCATTTTTCGGATCCAGGATGTGTTGAGGGATAAACTGTTGGGACGCCATAGATTCTCACGATGAATCTCTGCAAGAATCGAACGGAAGGTATTTCACAAAAGAGGAGTTATGACTGAAAAGGGGCTAGTCTGACAAAGGGTTGGCTACTCGAGGAAGAAGGCTGACGGTTTTGTCTATTTCGAGGTAGCATCAAAACGTTTAAAATTCAAAGAAGTAACCGACCGGTTGGATTAAGTTGGCAACGATTACTACTTCAAATTTTAGGGGCAATTGTTGGGCCCGGATTTGTCAAGCGAATCGGCCCATTGATTGGGTTTGAGTTTATTGGACGGATCAGCCCGCGTAACCCTAAGAAATCCACAGAATCCGGCTTGGTCAAATAATGTGACGAAGTGGATAAGAAAGCCTAAGAAGTTGAGGAGAAAATGGAGGAACGGTTCCCGATTTAGTAGGGGAAGGCTATCATTTCGCCGGTCAGTTCGTCCACATGGGGGATAAGGCTGAAAATTTTATTTTAAATAGACTGGCTGTAGAAGAGAGAAAGCACGAATCCTGCTTGATTATATATGCACTTGTAATACCATTCTTTCGGTCATACACTCAGATTAATACATTTCATTCATTAATTTTCAGTTTTTACATTTTGTTTCTTGTACGATCCCTACATACATATAATTTTAGATTAGTTTAATTCTTGCTTAAACATATACACCCTTGTACACCTTATACACACCATGTTTGTGAAGCTTTTTTTTGTTTGTGAATCCCGTTCACAGACAATGTTTTGTTTGTGACAAACATTGTCTGTGAATCGATGTTCAAAGATAAAAAAAAACTTTCACAGACATAGATGTGTACAAAAGTGTGTATAAAAGTATGTACAAACATCATTTTTGAATCGCCTAACCCCTAGGTTTCGTCCGCTTTTTTATGAAGTCTAAATTCTAAAATTCTAAAGTCTAAAAATGTAGTATTATAGGGCGTAAATGAATTATGAGTATTATATGGCATTGTAGGCCCGTGGCAGATTGGAGATCGGCTAAAGGATAAGAATAATTAACTTAGGGAGAACGGATAAAAAAGACACCAAAGTTTTTAATGAATCTCGGATATGATAATGATGTTTAAGGTGGACCAAAAAAATACAAATTAAAACATTTCCATTAACTTTTAACCACCGTTGACTCTCCTGTTAAACGGCCGTTTCCCAAGATAACCTTTTTCGGTTTTGCAATAACACCAGGCTCTCTCATAGGGCACCGGGAGTTAGAGAGCAGCAGCTAGGTGGTGTCATATTCCGTGCACCAGGAGTATATAATGAATGTCCTCATTTGTGATCGAGTACAAGCCAAATTGAAGCATTTGAGGCGAGTTTTTGATATTTATAGATTTGCTCATATACTATTCTCTTATAGTCTTACGATGTTTTTATTTCGCATAAAAATAGTCAACTGATAATTATTCCGTATTAAATCGTCTATGCTTACTATCGTAACTATAAAACTAAAAGCAGGGTTTTTGGTATAATAACTACAAAAATAAGAAAAGTCTAAAATCAAAAGCCTTACCTCAACAGAGGAACGACGTAGTGGAATTCTATATCGGGGAAGAGGATCATGGTCGATCAAATCAAGTGTACCGGCTTGGCGAGTTCCGTTGCTGCTACGCTGGCGGCGGTTGTGATGGGGTGACTACTGACATCGTTATGAAGACATGTTCGGTCGAAGGCAGAATCGAACTCCGAGATGCCCCGACCCAGACGAGTCCTCCTGTTGTAGAATAGCTCCGAAGCGCTCGTTACAGTCCATCAGCGTGTAATCTTCTTAGCCGAGCACGAATTACGGTCCAAGATATTTTACTTAGGGTTGCAAATGGGGATTTGTGTTTAAACGCAGGGAAAGGGGCATTTTACTTGGGGGGAACGGCCGTTAGAAAGGAAAGTTAGTGGTGATTAAAAGTTAAGGGAAAGGTTTTAATTTGTGTTTTTTTGGTCCACCTATGACCTCAGTGTCATATCCGAGATTCATTAAAAACTTTGATGTCCTTTTTTGTCCTTCTCCCATTAACTTATTGACTAGTAGTAATATATGGAGTTGAATTATTTTCTTTTTTTTTTATTTCAATTTTCGGCCAATTGATCCTGGCACTATGGTAGATTGGCGGACAAGACAAGCAATAAAAGTAATTTTTTAGGAAAAAATAATCTAAATACTCCAAACTTTGAAGGGTGAGGTAATATCACTCTTTTCACTTTCCAAAATTATTTTCAAAAACAGGCAACTTAAATAATTTATTTTCACATCCATGTATATATATAACCCATCCCATGTAGTTTATATTACAAAGAAGCGCACGTAAAGATCCATCTCTACTGTTATACATCTTTGATAAAGTAATACAAGCTTACTTAATTTAAGTTTTTAAATTCAAAAAATTGTAAAAAATTACGAAAGTGTTAAAACATAAAAATAATTAAAAAAAAGTAAAATATATCAAATATCAAAAGTAAGGAGAAACAGAAAATGCATAATAATAAATAAAAGTCTAAAACTTCTAAATTAAGTTTAAAAATAGAAAAGGTAAAAAAATTATAAAAACAATTAATAAGAAAAATGTAAAAAATACGTATTGAAAAATTATAAATACATAACTCACAAATAAAAATCAAACACATTTTAATGTAGCTCAAAAATTGTAAAAAAAAATAAGATGACAAATATAAAAACATAGTTTGTATACTCCATACTTATATAAAAATATAAAAAGCATTCATGACAACCAAATAAACTGAAATTTTTATAAAATCAATACACAAAAGGAATATACTATCGTATATGAAAAATATATAAATATAAAATGTAGAAAATCAGAAAAAAATTCAAAAAATGGAAATACTGTAAATTATATTTGAAAAATCTTAAATATTAAAAATTATAAAAGTACAATATAAAATAAAATGAAATATAATTTTATTGTTAGTTTTTGTTGTGTATTGCTTATTTTTGTTACTTTTCTTTTTTATAAGTTTGAAGATTTTGTTGTTTACTGTTTCTTTATGTTTCTAGTTGTTCTTATATTCGCTAATCTAAATTTATAATTTTAAGCGCTTGCAAGCAAATCCAGTAGCTATGATAAATAGTAACCTAAATATTAAACAATTAAAATGAAATCAACAATAAACAACAATAAGCAACACATTGCAACAAAAACAACACGATATAGTAAAAAGAAACACAATACAACACGATATAGTAAAAAGAAACACAATACAACAAAAAGCAACAAAAACAACTCAAAAATGTAGCTAATATATAATTCAATTAATTATTTTAATTTATTACATCTATTCTATTCTTTCTTTGGTTTAATAAAGTTGTTATTATTTGGAGTTATTTACCTTTTAAATAACATACTTCTATAATTCATTAGAATCAACTAATTCAGTCAAAGTTTCATCAATTTCAACATATTCATCTGATTCAGTCAATTTTGACGTTACCAGACGGACTCATTAAAATTATTGAAGTATTGCAAAAATCAAACGATACAAGAAAGGAAGAGGGGAATTATACAAAATGAAAGCAAGAACAAACTCAGGAATGAAAAACTAAAACTAGTACAAAAACAGCACGGAATACAAGATTACATTTACCTTCATGGCCAACGTTTGTCATTTCCTCAAGTGAAAATGAAGTGGCAAATATAACAGCATAGCTATATAACATGGCAAAGACTCTGCCTATCAATAGTAAAGAAACTGGGGTGACAACCTGCTCGTTTAATACCGCTTCATAAGTGGAGCCACCGTTTATTATCAATCCTCATATGGTATGTGTATCTCTCTGTCCCTACAGTTTGAGGAAGACAAACTCCTCGACTGCAGCCACTTCCCCTATTCTCCTAAGAGAATCCTTATTTGGCTCCTCATCGACCCCAATTGCCATGATCGCCTTTGTCCTCTTACTAGTCCTTCCCACACTCATGAAGCTCACGTTCACGTTATTCTCAGCCAGAATATTCCCAACCTGCCCAATCATCCCTGGCTGATCAACTTGGCGGCACAATATAAGGTTCCCCTCCAAGCTCACGTCGACACTGAACGACCCCACACAAATAAGATGAGGGATACCGTCATCCTTCACCTTCCCCTCCACACAGATATTTCCATTCTCCAACAATGCACTTGCGAATTTTGACTTCACACTGCTTATTTGTACCTGGATGGACTCAACTGGAGACCCCGGAGATGAGTCAGCGCCTACTCGTTCTTCGCTGATGCGGAGACCCTTCTGCTTCGCTGTGAAATCTGCATTCACAAGGTTGATTATGCTGTCTGAAATTGGCTCAATGATACCTTTGGTTACCATGGCACGCAGAAGTCTCGTGTCCAGGCTGTCGGGGTTCCTTGCAGTTTTGTATACTATCTTAATGGACTGAATTCCACTCCCACCAGCTACTAACTGAACAGCCAGCCTGCCCAGTTTCTCAGCTAGCACAACGTAAGGGGCTAACTCGGACAATACCTGATGACAAAAGATATATGGTGGTTCTTATGGTCTATATACGAGAAGAGATTTAATTGTCAAATATACTACCTCTGTCTAAAATAAATTTATGATTCATGAAGGTACAATTTTTTAATTTAGATAAGGTACAATTATTGCAAGGCATCCGTGCTAGCTTTAGTTTTAAATTTATTTGTCGATTTAACTAAATCTAACATATTTAACATGCTTGTTATCGAAGAGGACCTGTTTTTGTTTAGATTACCTCAGCCAAGGAAAGAGTTATGTTTCACAACTTCTTTTGTTTCAAAATGGAGCCATATTCTCAACAAAAGAAGATTACTTTCATTGAATTTAATTTTGCTCTTTCTAGTAAAAAAGTGTTCCGAAGTCCGAACAAGCAAGTATGCTAAATTTAGTTCAACAAACAAATACCCTTGAAAATATAAGTAGAATGAATGATATACGATAGTTGTCCCTCATCTTGAAATTTAAGAATTGTACCCTGACGAGATATGACTTCTTTTTTAAAAGAGGGAGGCCCATTTATTTTAGATTACCTCAGGAGGAACCATTGGAGCATTAACAGCGGTTGCAGATAGTTCCCCTCTCAAAGCACCAACCACAGCTTCAGCTATTTCAACAGCAACACCTTCCTGGAATTGTACACAGTAAGGGTATATTTGGATCACAGATAATGCACAGAATGCGAGATTGCGAGGCAAGGAAAACAAATGCTAAGGAAAAATATGTTCTTGTATTTGGTACTACATTGGAAAATGCAAAGGGAAATAGAATATGATCATATTTAGTTTACACTTTACACATATAGATTGTTTTAGTCTATACTCTATATAAAAGACTAAAAACAATATTGTATCAACCAATATGGCATCATTTCATTTTCATTTACCCCAGTGCCGCAAAGGCTCCCACCTACGGTGGGGTAAGGGGGGTCGGATGTACGCAGTCTTACCCCTGCACTAAAGCACAGAGAAACTGTTTCCGGATGACCAATAGTGAAAATCGCGTCCAAAATTGCATGGACTGACTGCTGCTTCATAACAAAGAAGCGCAGACAGTTCAGTGAGCCATTTTGCTGTATTTCATCATAATCTCAAGCCAAAAAATAATGAATCTTTGGCTCCATTGCAAATGATGGAAAATCAACCAATATGGCAATATCTAAAATAAATTTAATGATGTAGCTTATCTTTTACTTCCTCACATATTTTCTTTTATTCAAAGTTTCCTCTATGTTTACCTTCCTATTTTTCTGGGATCCAAAGTATCCCTAATAAAATGCAAAATGCAGAAGGATATGGTGAAGCTCAAACTAGCATTAATACCTGTGCTTCCTTTGTGCTAGCTCCAAGGTGAGGCGTAACGGTCACATTCTCATGAAGCACTAATTTGCTATCTTTAGGCGGTGGTTCCTCGGTGAAAACATCTAGGGCTGCCTGTTAGAAACGATGATAAAACGTGTCAGTAAGAAACTGAGATAACTACTATTACAATGTCTATGATGGTTAAAATTGGCAGAGTTAGAAGAAGATAAACAGAATAAAATATAAAAAGCATGGGATGAGAATCTTGCCTGTGCAACAATTCCACTGTCAAGTGCCCTTACTAGTGCATCTTCATCAATAACCCCTCCTCGAGCGACATTTATGAGTCTGGTTCCTTTTTTCATCTTTGCAAATGTTTCATCATTAAAAACCTTTTTCGTATCAGGGGTAAGAGGCATATGCAGTGAGATAAAGTGAGCAGTGGATACAGCCTGGTCAAAAGACACTAACTCAACTCCAATAGCACGAGCCCTATCGGCAGGGGCATAAGGGTCATGTGCAATAACTTGCATCCCAAGTCCTTTCGCGCGTCTTGCGACCTCTGAACCAACTTTACCGAATCCCATAACTGCTAATGTCTTACCGACGAGAGAGACACCGACATACTTGTTTCTCAGCCATTTGCCTGTAAGTATAGAATGGTGCAACAGTTCATAGTCTTAGGTTAACATCGACAAAATTAACAAAACGGTTTTCAGATAAATTACAATATCCTCAACTTGTTGCAAGAATATAAACCTCTATACACGAGAATAGTAAGACTGCAAAAATAAATACCCAAAAAAGAAACAATGAAAGAACTTGTAAAAGAAACCAAGTCTGGAGGCTGTTGTATACTCGTATGAGTTGCTCCATCACAGTAAATTCAAGATTAGTATTTTTATCATAAAATTCGAAGTATCATTTGATCAAAAATATGTCCGTAAATCCTTTGTTCTAAATATGGCGTAGACGCCTCTATTTTGTTCAGAAATCATTCAGCCTACTAAACACTAATCAGACGTCAAGGCAGCAGGTATTGAGGCCTAGACCTAATTGTCTTTTTAAAGATTGGAGTTAACACCTTGTGCATTTAAGTAAGCTACCAACAAAGTAAGACAATTGCTAGTTCTAAATTTTAAAAAAATTATGGTAAACATTTTTCTAATACTTATTCCGTATTTGAGTTAATTAATTATTTTTAATTTAGTTTTGCATTTTATGATTCTAAGATTTCATACATGTTGATATTTATGTGCTCACACAAAATCATTAGACGCATATAGAATATGTATCTTTGGCATATCAACTAGGCCCCACTAAGGCACTGCCTTGGTGCTAAGCGATGGACGCCGCCTAGCATTTTCAAAAGATTTAAATCTCGTAGCAGTGCAGAATATCTCTGTTATGTTTAGAAGTCCTAGAGACCCAAGTAGTGAATGAACCCTGAGAAGCTTTAAAAAGGTCTATGAAATTGGGTTCCACTCCTAGAAGGGTCGACATTTGTGAGTGCTTAACTTGTTCCATGGAATTACTCGGTTACAACTTGTTTAGTCCCAAATTAAAAAGTAAGGGATGAGCCGACTCCCGAGCACTATGGCGTTACCAAAACATAAGAGAGGGGGGAAGTAGCCAAGAAAGCAACCCACAATTGTTCAAATTAATAATACCAGTAGTCCTGTCTTTGACCAAGATCATATAGTTCCAAGCCATCCAATAATCACATTTTCCAACTACCAAAGAAATTATTAGAGTCCAGTCCCAGACTCCCAATCACGCACGATGCAATTCACCCACCAATAAAAAGATTTTTTATTTTTTTATATAAACATGCATAGATTTTAGATTTGCTTCATTATCTACAAGTCATTCCTATTTTCCTGATTCTTCATTTCCTCTACAGAAGCAGAAAAAAATTCAACACCACCAATCAAGCCTTCGTTAAGATATGAAATTGGAGTTTAAAGATAAATAGAGAAAAGGGAGATAAACAAAAACGGATCAATCCTCCACATATATATCTCATCTCTATTTCATTATCTCTGAAGTTATATTCTCATTTAATCCGAAATTATCAAATTAATATATCATTGCTGACTCAAAAATCATACTCTTCTACCCACATAACCATATCAGATCATTTTTTGTTTATGTGGTTTGTGGACTAAGCAGGGAGAGGCGATTATCCGCTGTGTGTCTTTTTTATAGGCGGGTTCTGCTTATGTTATCCAGAGAAAAAACGAAGGATTTTTTGACTAAAATAAATATACTTCGTAATAGTAAAAGATACAACTTATAACTACTTTAATCATAATTATGTTAATTCCGTCTCCGCTTTCAAAGTTTTCACTTGCCTCATTTACCTAGAACGTATCATACTCTCTAATTCTTTATCAACGTTCTCATTCTATTTTAAGAAATTTTTAATTATTTTTAATGAACTTTTAACTTTACAATAGCACATATTAAAAATAATACAATTATCACAACACTATCATCAATTATTTCACTATATTACTCCGTATACTAGTATTTTTTATGGTGAAAGCTGCAATAGGAGCAAAGTTCGAGTGGACAACCTGACGTAAATAAAATTGGGAGAGAACAGCCTAAATTTTTCTGTGGCTTCCATACTAAACTTGTTACTACGGTATAAATTAAGTGCTACTACGTATTAATTGAGTAGTTCAGATGGAACTGAGTTTTTGATTGATGAGGTACTTTTTAAATTATTATATTTACATATGGTCTAAAAAACGTGTCATTCTTAAATGAGAATTTCAAACGTGATAGTCATTATCAATTTATCATGGTTTACACTAAATATAGGATGATAAGGTCTATTACAGCTCCATATATGCGACAATATACGGACCATATGAACATTAATGATATCTATTTCATTTCTGAATCTGAAATCTGAAAATATAATAAGCGCCACATATCGATTAACCGAAAAGCAAGAAGAAGAAAACAAACAATAATTACTGAAGAAATATTTTGAAAACTAAAACACAAATCAAACCAGAAAAAAGAGTTTTATTTTTGTGCAAGTAGATTATAATCTAATAATAATATGCATATGATGATGGAATAATAGTTCATTGTATAACCGACATGATTTAGAGTATATTATAAATTTGTAAAACCAAAAAATAAATTGAATGCAATACCAGGTCCTTATTTACCGGCTTTAACGGAAGCATCGGCCTGCGCGACGTTCCGAGCCATGGAGGCGAGCAAAGCGATGCCATGTTCGGCCGCTGCGATGGTGTTGGCGGTGGGAGCATTCACAACCAGACAGCCAAACTCGGTTGCGGCCTGAAGATCCACGTTATCAATTCCAACACCGGCTCTACCAACCACTTTGAGCCGACCACGAGCTGCCTCGAACACCTGGCGCGTGACCTTCGTCCCACTCCGAACAATAAGCGCATCAAACTGCTGGATCTTAGCACAGAGCTCCTCAGGCGACAGATTGTACGCGCAATCGACCTCACCGAAGCTCCGGAGCAGCTCAATGCCCGCTTCTCCGAGCTTCTCGGAGACGAGGACTCTCGGCTTAAGTTCCTGGACGGCGGATGCGAGATCTGCGGCCCTGGAGACGGATGCGTCAGCAGATTGAACCGTGTTGAGAATGCTCCGGACCTGAAAGGAAGTAGAAATGCGGGATCTGGTGCAGGATAGCCGGAGTGGAATCGAATTGGGGGATGAATGAAGAAATGAGAGGTGGTGGGATTTGTTATTTCCCGGCGAATGGGAATAAGATGGTGTTAGGCCATGGAGAGTAATGGAATTCTTAGGAATGGTCGCCATTATTGGATGATGATCTAGCTCGTATGGAATCTGGAGATGGGGAAATAGAAAGAGTGTACGAGCGAGCGCCGTCGTCGGAACGTGAATCGAGTTTCAACACGACTTTATTGCAGTTATATAGCACTAATAGGAGTAAAGTTGGACATATGATTGGATTCCATTTAAAACGCACGCATTGGAAGAATAGTTGTAAAAAAACAATTCTTGATGTACACTTTCGTATACTCCATCCGCCCCCTATTACGTTCCCTTGTCTCATTTCCTATTCACTTAGTTAACACAAATCACTCTTAATCTTTTACTTTATTTATCAAATTTTTATCAAATTTGATTCTGGTTTTTGCGACTTTGTAAACCTTTTAATGTAGTTTCTGAATATGCAATTTTTTTTTCTAAAAATAATTCTAGTGTGGACAGAGATCTGTTTGCTTTATCGTGAGTCAAGCATCGTAAACCGCAATGGGACAATAACAGGGGGACAGAGGTAGTACAAAACAGTACATCCCGTGTTTGTGGGAGTATTTTTTGTTTGTGAATCTCAGTCCACAGACAGAAACTATCTTGTTTTGTCCGTAGAATTTTTCACAGACAAAACAAGTCAGTTTTTGTTTGTGGACTGAGATTCACAGACAAAAAAGCTCTCCGAGACACGGGGTGTATTGATGTGTATAAGAAAGTGTACAAAAGGATTTTTTGTAAAAAAATCATACTCCTATTAGTGCTCTAAAGAATATTCAAGTTATGTTTTTCGGTTTATCGGATTTATCTGATTTATAGTCAATTTTTTCTATCAAACATGTAAATTTTTATTTCTGAATTGTGTAATAATAAGAAAAGGTAAGGTTGCATTTACTTTTTTAGCTGTATTGATTGAAGTTACTGTAGATGATCATTTTAGCTGTTTTTTCAAATTTTTTTTCTATATTTTATTCATAAATCATATTTTATGAATAATTTTTTTTCATTAATCAGTAGTCAATCCAACCACTTCAATCAGAACTTCATAAATTTTCAGCAGAATCAATCAATACAGTTGATTTGAGTATGACCAAATGGGCTCTAAGTTTTGATTTGATTCGGTTCAGTGCGATTAGGTTTTGATTTGTATTTTTAAATACTACGTATGTATTAAGATTTTGTTGAACATTTTACATCAAATCAATTTTATTTTTGTTCATGGCTTCGATTTCATTAAGTTTACTACGGTTCTAAACACATACTACCAAATCTGAATCAAATTGCATATGGTTCAATTTCATTTCGGTTTGTTATGACTCGATTCGGTCAAACCCATTTGTGAAGCCCTAATAGGGAATGTTGGTAACAAGTTTGTTGGGATATATTATCCCGACCTACTATTATTCAGAGCTTAATACATCATCCATCCATACGGAGCCCGATAGACGTGGTCCATCTCGGCCCACCAGGGCATTTCTGGCCCACCAGGCCCTATTTAGCCCTTTTCAGTCAATTAAGGTTATTTTGCACCCCCCCCCCCCCCCCCCCATTATTTATAGAAGTTTTCCACACCCTTCTCCCTAGAAAAATGTAAACTCCATCAATGAGAACTTTTGTACTATGTAAATAGAATTTTTGTACTATGTAAATGGTGAGGAGTGATTAATAAAAGGGAAAATATAAATTAATAATTCAACCTTTTAGTTGTCTTCATTCATTGGTCTCACTTTATCGTTATTCATGAATAATCTAACCTTTGCAGCAAATCTTCATTTGTTGGTCCCTGATCGGTTGATAACCTGTTATTCCAGGTTTCTTCATTTTCTTTACAAATCATTCAACCATAAATCTCACTTTTCGCAAATCTTCTCCAAACGGTCTCACATATAATTTTTCTTTTTTTCTTCCTAAAACTTTCCCCTTTTTATTTTTATCATCTTGACTCTTTTATTCTCCTTTTTTGTCTTCTTATTATTATTTTTACTACTTTTCAAATTAATTTTTTTTTTGTCAATGTTTATGTATTCCATTTTTCCTTTTTGTCTCTTTTTTTTTTCATTTTCTTCCCGTTTATTATTTCATTTTCGTTTTTATATATTTTTTCGGATTAGTTTCCTTATAAAAGATCTTTTTCTCACGGTACTAACTTTTCACTTTATTTTTTTACTCACACTTATATTCCTTTTTCCTTTTCTTACCTTTATTCTACCACTGATATATTTTTGAGAAAAAAGACCCAAAATAGGACTAAACTAATTCCTAAATGCACAAATAGGACTATATTATTTATCTTCCCAAAATAGGAATAAAATATTGTCTATCTTCTTATTCTACATTTTACCCTTACCATAACTTAATAGGATAATTATATTTTACATTATAACAAAAAAGAAAAATAACAAAAGGTGTTTCAATTTATAAGAAGATAGACGGTATTTTATTATAATGTAAAATATGATTATCCTATTAAGTTATGGTAAGGGTAGAAATGTGAAATAAGAAAATAGGTTGTACTTTAGTAAAGATAAATAACATAGTCTTATTTGTGTATTTGGGGATTAATTTAGTCCTATTTTGAGGCTATTTTCTCAAATATATTTTAGTGGTAGAATAAAGGAAAGAAAAGGAAAAAGGAAATAAATAAGTGTAAGTAAAAAGAAAATAAAGTAAAAAGTTAGTACGGTGAGAAAAAGATCTTTTATAAGGAAAGTAATCCAAAAAGATATATATAAATGAAAATGAAATAATAAACGAGAAAAAGAAAAAGAAGGAAAAATGGAATACATAAACATTGAATAAAAATGAAAAGTAATAAATATTAAAAATAAGAAGACAAAAAAGGGGGAATAAAAGAGTCAAGATGATAAAAATAAAAAAGGAAAAGTTTTTGGAAGAAAAAAGAAAAATGACATGTAGGACCGCTTGGTGAAGATTTATGAAAGGTTGGATTTATGATTGAATGATTCGCAAACAAAATGAAAAAACCTGGAATAACATGTCATCAATCAGTCAGGGACCAATGAATGAATATGAGGTGCAAAGGTTGAATTATTGAATAACGATAAAGTGGAACCAACGAATGAAGACCGCTAAAAGGTTGGATTATTAATTTCCATTTTCCAGTAATAAAATGTGAATGACTTGAACATTGGCCCAAAAAGTATCAGGTTTCACCATTTCAGTGTTTCATACAATTTTTATACACTTATTTACTTTTCGTGTTGAATTTATCTCAACGAGGTTATAAAACCATTTCCAATTTTTTGCTTTTTTTGAAGAGGAAATCACTTATATTGATATCAAAATCAAAAGGAAACACTAACTACAACCTTCACCTTCCAACTACTACTTATAACCCTACGATTAGACATAGAGACAATCACCCCTAAAGGAGCAATACGAATCGCTAACTATCAGACGGACTTAATGTAGCTATTGTTGAACAAATAGATCTGTCTCCCACTAACCATATCAAATCTACCCGAAACCTCAGTCATCGTAATAAACCTAGTACCATGAACTTTAAAAAAAAGAAAACGATAAGAACAAAGTTCCTTATTAAAAAACTAAACCTAAATAAAACGAAATTAAAAAAGATAAATTGATGGATCAGATGACCCATGGCAGCGGCGGGAACCCTAATCTCATAGATCCTCCATGGCGACGGTTTAGGAAGGGGCCGAATCATCATCACTTCATCTTCATCTCCATCACTCGGATCCCATTCGCAGCCCGACGCCATTTTTTTGCTTAAAAACTAAAATTGGTATTTCCATGTGACAGGTTTTATTTAAATTAAATACTTCAAAGAAAAGAGTTGGAAATATGTAGAAGAGTGCTTTAAAGTACTCAATTTTTTTCTATTATACAAACATTTTTTTATCAAACACTATCTACTTTTATTTTATCAAAATTACTTAAAAATTATTATTTTCTAAATAGAAACAATCACAAACATCTCTCAGATACCAACAAGACATGACAGGCGATGTCCAAATTGCAACTCATTTAAGATCCCTAGCTAACGAATAAATTTGGAGGGGTGAGGAGGGTTTTATGGTCTTCACTTTTTTATTTGGGAGTTTTAAAATGGGGAGGAATTGTTTTGGAAGGTTTTTATGAGAGGGTTTTATGGTCATCACTCTCCAAAATCACTCAAATGCTCAATTTTTAAGTTCACTCAAATTGAGAGGGTTTGAAGAATAATTAATTAAAGGGGTAATGACACGAATATGACTCTTTGATCACATTTTTGTCCAAATGTAAAAGTGATCACATTTTAGGAAATCACATTTAATTTAGTAATATTGAAGGAATAACCCCAAATAAAAACATCACATTTCTGAGTTTTTTTCCGTATTAATGTTAATTAATTAATTACGAAAATAGGGTTGGGTTAAAAGTATTTACCAATATACTGCTGGGTTAACCATGGTTGGGGTAAGTCGCCCAACCGTTGGGCGACTTTCCCTTTAGTAAAAACAATCGGCCAGCCAACGAAACAGAAAGACGCAAACCCAATCCCCCAAATCCCCCAGCCGCAGCGACGAAGAGGAACGACGACCGAGCTTCGGCGAACCTCCATCTATGGCGACCCCACTCCGGCAAACCTCCATCTTCATCTTCAACACTCTTTCTTCTCTCTTGTAGGTAAATAAAACTCCATTTCATCTCATTTTGAACTTAGGGTTTTGAATGTTAAAATTTTCGAATTTTTAGATTGTGAATTGATTGTGAATTGAGTTGTTGTGAAATGTGGATATGTATGAAATGTTGAAATTTGATTTTAAATTGATTGTAAATTAAGTGTATTTTGACATTTGGGCATTTAGGTAGATTTGAATGTAGTTAAATTTGGGTCTTGAAATGTAGACTTGAATGTAGATATCAAATTTTGGGTATTTTCATAGTCAAATGTGAGTTCTTTGTGAATTATGACTTTCAGGATATATTAGAATTTTGGTAGTTTTTTCTGTTGAAAATTTGAAGACAAACTCTCCAGTCTCTTATTTAAGGCAGTCCTAAGACGTCGGTGAAGGAAATAAAGAAAGGGGAGTAAGACGCCAATGAGTTCTTCAAGTGCTGAGTCCCGGTCGATGGATGCAAGAAGGCGAATTCAGAGGTGTGGCTGTGGACTCCAAGCACCGGTGTGGACTGCAACAATAGACAAAAACACGGGGGAAAGATTTTATGGGTGCGGTCATTTCTTGAGTGGTCAAGAGTGCAATTTCTTTGAATGGGTTGAGGATGAAGAATGTGGTACTTGCCTGAGACGGATAGAGACCTTGCTCCAGAAGGTTACCAGTGTTGAAGAGAATTTCCGGATGAAAGAATTAGAGATGCAAGCTGAAATCAAGAGTTGTGTTCGTGGGATTGGCCTTTTGAAACTCCACAATATGGAAGAGGAACTTAAGATGTCAAAGAAAGGCAATAGGACTTTCTCCTGGAATGTAGTGTGGTTCGGGTTGTTTGTTATCTTGCTGGGAAGTAGGATATATTAGCATATGTGTAAGTGTTGTGTGGTTGTATGTGGGTACTGATTTGGTTGTTGAATTTGGTTGTATTGTTGTAATGAAGATTATGCATTTGGTTTTCAAGCTTATGGTCTTTTTTTGTTAATGATCATGTTGATGGGAATCATATGTGTATAACGTAGTTTGTCTTCGATTAAAAAAATTAAGTAAAAATTAATTAAAAATTAATTAGAAAAAAAGAATTACTATAATAGTAAAAATTAACTAATACGAATTAAGAATTGTTTGTTTGTAGCCATGGAGGTGACAACGGATCCTGGGCCGAGTGATCGTTCTGTCCTGACATTGCAGGCCTCGCACAGGAGTGAGGATGTTTGGCTTGGCCTCGATGTTCAGGTGGATAGGTGCCGCGAGCACCTGCGGGGTTTGTCACATATGCACGTGGACGACAGAGTACTTGCATATGTTCGTGCTGCGGGTTTTTATGGTCTGCACATATTGGTGGCTACTGTCCCTCTCGATAGAACGCTACTCACCGCTCTTCTTGAGCGTTGGAGGCAGGAGACACACACATTTCACTTCCCTGTTGGTGAGGTGACAGTGACCTTGGGAGATGTTGTTGTACTTACTGGGCTACAGGTTAATGGGAGAGCTGTTACAGGCACTGCTTGTCGACAGTGGGTAGATGAGTGTGAGCGGTTGTTAGGTGTCCACCCCCTTCTTCGGACTGACCTTCAGGGGTCATCCCTGAGGATGTCATGGTTGAGGGAGCACTTCCAGTTGCTTCATCCGGACGCTGATGAGGTGATGATCCAGCAACATGCGCGGGCATATATCTTGATGATGATGGGAGCCTCCATTTTCGCTGACAAGAGCGAAAATGAGATTCAGGTGATGCACTTGCCTATGCTAGAGAGGTTTGATGTAGCAGCAAAGTTCATTTGGGGTAGTGCCACGCTGGCTTATCTCTACAGACAGCTGTGTCGCGGCTGCCATAGAGGGAGCACAGAGCTTGGAGGATTTTTGCTACTCCTCCAGATTTAGTCATGGGAGTATATCCACATTGGACGTCCCCTTGTAGTCGCATATCATGGCATTGATGGACACCAACTCCCTGATGAGCCTCCACGTCTTCTGGGACCACATCATGTACGGGGCGAGGACCCACTAGGCCGTCAGTATGTTTTCAATTGTTAGTATTTATGTTATTTGTATGTTGAATGAATGTAAGTATATCAATAATATCCATATTAATGAAATGGTTACATGAATCGTTAGATGGCTATTTGCTGGTCTAAGTCGCATGTCATCCGCTACTGGGCTCGGTGTCTACAAGGATGCATTTGATCGGATGTCTGAGGATCAGGTATCGTGTGGGTAATATAACATATGCTATAATATGTATAGCATAAATACTAATTTTGTATCTTTATAAAATAGATTACATGGATGCCGTATACAGCTGAGATGTTTGCAGAGTTGCCCCCAGCTGGACGAGAGCATAGTCACATATGGCGAGCACGTGTGCCGTTGATATGTTTTGACATTGTTGAGCTTCATTTGCCTGATCGAGTCTTGCAACAGTTTGGGTTTGAGCAAGTCATTCCACGGCCTATCGACATTTATGTAGAGCTTCGTAGGCTGGATAGGCGTGGGAAGCATACGGAGGATTGGGCACTCAGACATGTCCAATATGTCCCTTTGTGGGACAGGCGAGCTGAGCTAGTTGTGATTGGGACACCGACATATGTCCCATCTGTTTCAGGAGAATACATGGGATGGTATTACAGCATCACTCGTTTGTTTGTGTCTCCTTCGTTCAGACTCCCTACTCATCATTATCAGCCTAGCTCCTTGGCTTTGCATCTTACGATGAGTATATTACTAATTAGTAAAGTAAGTCATTTTATTTAGTTAATACTTGTATGTATTTCAATGTAATTGTAATTGTGTTTCATATTTTAGACACGAGTTTTGCAGCGTATACATCAGCGGGCTACTGCCACAGTGAGTGAGACTCATGATGTGGACATGTATGGACAGACTCTGACAGACATTGTCTCCCTGTGTTCAGATGTGTTGGGGCGAGTCGACTACGACCATCTTATACACATGCCCCCATCACAGGAGATGTCATCGACGTCTAGTGCAGCGGTGACTTCATCATCCCAGACGCAGCATGAGAGAGTGGTTTTTCAACCACGACCACGGCGTAGGCGTAGACATCAGCATCAACATCTCCATGACCACGATGATCAAGATGACCATGAAAACTTGTAGTTTGCCTTTTTGTATTGGAGTTTTTCTTGCACAGTAGATGTTGTAGGAACAGTTTACAACATTTTACGTATTTTCTCTTCTAAATTTTTGTATGTTGTCTTCATGTTTTCGAGTATGAATATTAGATGATTACTTCTATGTTGTTGAGAGTAGGTGTTATGTATGTGTTTGTGAACAGGTGTGTTGTATGTTTTATAATGTGTTGTATCTGGCTCGTAACACTTAAACAGGAGAAAAGAGACCTTATTTAGAGCAAACAGATGAGTTTGGGTTGAACTGAGGCAAAAAATGTTGAAATTCTGTTTTCCGAATTAGGCACGACCATGCCCCTTGCAGGCACGATCGTGTTTGGCTGGCAGTAGCTGCTGGCCTGCATTCATATGGAAGGGAAAGTCGTCCAACGATTGGGCGACTTTCCCTGACCATGGTTAAATTCAGCAGTAGATCGTTAAATACATTTTTTCCAGCATTATTTTTGTAATTAATTAATTAATTAACATTAATTCGAAAAAAACTCCACATTTCTATTTTGAAATTGGAAAACATATTTAGTTTGAGTAATTTTTTTTATAATATATACTCCGTATGTGAGTGTAGTTTCGTTTGTACTCTTATACGGGAGTATACAGTAAGTAGTAGGAGTACTTTCCTAATTGTTACTTTCCTATTTATGGGAGTGCAATTTCGTTTACAAATTACTGTATACGTTCAGTCAATCCTAACTATACACGGATTAGAAGTTTCCTAATTTTACCTACCTAGCTATATGCCTATATATACCTGCTCCTACACCTTTATTCTTTCATTACAACTAAATAAATTTGTTTAATTTTTTTCTCCCTACAATAATTTATATACCGTTGCTTGATTCTCTGGCCTTAGTCCTCCTAGATTACCACTTCCCTCCGGCGGTACATACTTGGGAGAGGTATTTAGTCTAGTCACTTTCATTCTTTGTGCCCATTTTTTACTACTACATAATAATAATAATAATAAAATTAATATTAACAATAATTTTAATTAATATTAATATTAATAGTTATGGGATATGCAACATACAACCAAAGAACAAATAAAAGATGGAAAAGAACCACGAGAATCAATCTGATTCCTCGGGATATTATAGTCGATATGTTGGCGAGAGTCGCTGCTCATTCTCTACCGGATTTACTGCATGCCAAACTCAGGTATATAGCAACAATGTAATTGCATGTATAAACATTCAGTCAATAAATTAAGAAAAAAATCAACTTTTGGTTTGAGGACTATTATATCACTTCCACAGTTCCACATTTGGTCCCTTACTTTCAGATTGTCCACATTTAGTCTGTGACCATTATCCCCTCACCACCCCTCGTCCTTCCGGCCAAAATTCTGTCAAATTTAATGCAGATTTTAGGTATGAAAAACCAAATTTAATGCAAAGAATGATATGAAAAACTCAACCTGATACAAAATTAAATGCAAAGACTGATTCTGAGTCTGAGAAGTGGACTAAATTTGACGGAATTTTGGCTGGAAGGACCGAGGGTGGTGAGGGGATAATGGTCACGAGCTAAATGTGAAATTGGTATAATAGTCATGAGACCAAAAGTTGAATTTTTTCATAAATTAATTACTAGGTTGTACTCGTATATGTTAATATATAATCCCTCCGGTCCTTACTTAACTTTACATTTTCCTTTTTGGACCGTCTCATATTAAACTTTACACTTCTTTATTTGGCAAACAAATCTACACCAAACAGTATTGAACAGTGTCAAACAGTGTCTCTACAGTAAAGTCAAATTTATTTCTTTAATATGTGTGAAGTCAAAGTGTAAACTTCGTTAAGGACATGAGGGAGTATATAAGTTGATATATTGATTGATTCTTGTAGCTGCCATGAGTGGAATGAATTGGGGGATGACGTGAACGTGTATAAACATGCATCTCTAGCTGAGTTCCCAGTTATCTCGGGTTGGAAGCCAGAAAGTGCAGAAAAGAAAAGAAAGGTAGCTTCCTTTTTGAACAAGTGTATGGATGCCCAGAATCTTGAAGTTTTGTTCAGGAGAGGAGTGGTATATATAAATATCTTTGTCTTACATAATACCAAATCAATATATAAAATTCTTCACTAAATCAACTGATATTTAATTAATCGCAGGTGAGCTATTTTAGCGGACAAGAACAAGAATACGCATTGGAGTGTTTGAGGAAGGCAGGGAATGCGGGACACGTGGGAGCAGTATATACAATCTGCATAATTTCCATACTATTCATGGGAGCTGAACACAAGGAGAAAGGAATGGAGGTGTTGAGTGCCATGAAAAATTCAGATGAACTGCAAGAGAAAGTCGGGGAAGCTCGTCGGGAACTAATATCGATCTTGAAAGAGATTTGGATTGGGAGTTTTGTGGTTCATAGGCGAAAAACAATTTTTTGCAGCAGAAGAGATCATTGTTGTATGAAGAAGGGCTGGGATGCGGACGAAGAGAACTTGAGTATTGATTGTACTTATTGTAAATGTGATTTTGAGATTTCTGTCATAGATAGTGTTCTTCCATCTCCATTAAATAATAATAATGTGGTTTAACCAGCATATAATTATGCCTTTGCGGCACTGGGGTAAGTGAAAATGATGAAATGATTTAGCCACACAAGTGCAAACTTAGTTTTAATAACTGAAAATTTGCTTACCAAACTAAACTTGCTTTACAAATTTAGCCACACTACTTATGGCATTAAGCTGTCAAGATAAGCTTTCACAAATTCAAAGCATAGATAAGCATCAAGAGTACTTACTTTTTCTAAGAAATTCAAAGCACAGATAAGCATCAAGAGTACTTACTTTTTCTAAGAAATTTTCTCCATCTAGTGGAAACAACATGATGCCCATCTAAATAATTTTCCCTAAGTTAGGAGGTAAGTAAACAAATTATTGGTCTCTATTGCAAACTCAACATTCTGACATCTATTACATTTGTCTTTAGTTCCTTCAAATTAGGTACAAACAAAAAAAAAAACTCAATATTTCTGATTTATATAGTGCAGGATTGTTTATATCATATCATCAAAAAAACTAAAGTTCGTTTGACTATAGTTATAAGTTCAGTTTCCCATGAACCAAACAGAAAGGGCAAAATTATTTCATAGAGACCAACGAATCAGATCAATTTCCTCTTTGTAGTACATAGATTTCCATATCATAGTTTATTTTACAACAATTGAATATGAGTAAAGAGAAAGATGAGCTTTAAGGAATTGCCTTAAAATACTTTTTGTTATAAGTAAAAATAAATAATAGATGCTACAATACGGGGTAGCTTACAAAGCACTAATTGCAAAAGAGCTGACCAAGCATGGGGTAGTTCATGACGTGATTGGATGTTTTATGCAAGGAAAAAACTAACCAGGTGAAAAAAAACAGAAAATTGACCTGTAAGGTAATGCACACAAAAGGCCAAATATAACTACACAAAAATGACTTAGGTTACTCAATAGGTTACTAGCAGCTCAATAACTACACAAATAAGAAATTATATCCTAGCTGCTATTGTATACTATCGTATAACAGTTCAATGAAAAAAATGCAGTTGGTCTTCAATTCAATGAGTAAATGAGTAGTTTACTAGCAAGCACAATCTTCATAAAATACACATAAGGAATGCGCATTGAAAGGAGTGAAACTCTCAGGTTATGTACACAATGAAGATCCTGCAGACTGGTTCCATAGCAGACCAATTAGGCCTTCACTTTCCTCTTCTAATCAATGTATCAGCAAACAAAACACCAACTACCCTCTCTTCTTCCTGCCTTAACTTTTCTACTGAAGTGCCCATATTCAAAAGCCACAAAAAAACACTACCAAATCTAATAGTCACAAAAATGATCTGGTCACTTTCTATCAAAACCTTTCTCTTAGCATCTTCTCACCCACATACCTGCAAACAATGATACAGTCAAACAAGTTAACTCTGTTGTATAAGTACACTAATTAACTTCATGTTGAATAACCTGAGAAGAATGTATATTCACTCACCTCCCAAGCATGAGAAGGGTAGCTTGGGGATTAGTCCCGGGTGAAACAGTGAAGATTGACCCGTCGACGACCCGGAGAGACTCAATCCCAACCAGCCTGAAATCTCCATCAACAACCTTCCCCACAACACAGCCACCATGGTAATGCCAGATAGTACTAACAGTCTGCCGGCAAAACTCCTCCATCAGAACATCACTGGACTGGTCTTCGGGCAAAGCGGGCCCCACGTACACGAAATCCCTACCGCCGAACCACTGGGTGAACTTGAAAGCATCCATTGAACTAGTCCTCAAAATCTCCCCTATCATCCTGCTCCCATTCACGCACCTCTCAAGGTCTCCCCTGTCATTGAAGTAATTAAAGTTGACCAAGGGGTTCATCCTAACATCAGTTGAGGCCAATCTCAGTGACCCGGCAGATGACGGCCCTATTACCTTCTCCAAGATTGTTGCCACTGTCCGGTAGTAAACCGGAGGAGCATATGGAGTTCCGGTGAAGAAGGGGTGTGGGGTAGGGGAAGATAGAGGGATGACGTTAGAAACAGCTTCTAGGTAAGCACCTGACTCTGTTATCCCCACAACCTGAACCAGAGAGTGTCCTAGGGGTAAAGGAGGGACAATGGAGATTCCATTTCTTGGATTGTCAAACAGAAACTGCCCTACGTAAGGTGAGTGGAAGGAGACCGGAATGCCCAAAGAAGATAGGTATGGTCTTGGGCCGATTCCACTCAGTAGAAGGATCTGAGGGGTACCCAGAGCTCCGGCTGAGAGCAAGACTTCGCCTTTACCCCTGACCATGGCGTGGTGATACCTGCCGTTCCGGTCCCGGAAAACAACTCCGGCTGCCGTGCGTTTTCTGAGCAGAATCCTCTCTGCGGTGGCGTGGACGGCCACACGGATGTTTGAAGGATTGGCGTATGCAAGAAGGTCGGCTGAGATGTGTCTTCTTCCGGTGGGGTCGAAGGTGGACCCACCTATCTTGGTGCCAAGAACGTGTTCTAAGCTGAAGCCATTGTAGGGGTCGATTCCGGCTTCCAGTAACCCGTCTCTCACCGCCATTTGCCAGGTCCGGAGCTCCGGCCGAAATACGATGAGCCTCTCCACCCATTCGTAAGATTGGTTCACCAATCGCATGTCCCAGTTGATCCCTGACCTGAGATAGAACCCTTCATCTGCCCGGCTGTAGAATCCGGCGTTTATGGTGCTGCTGCCCCCAAGAACGCGGCCGCGGGCGTTTGGGACGCCTTCTTCGGAGGTGAAGGCCTGGACAGGGGAATCAAAGGCGTCGACCTCTGTGAGGGCTGTGAGATACCCTTCTTGAGTCATCAAATCTGGGTTTCCGTAGGGAACCCCGCCTCTTTCAAGAACGAGGACTTTAAACCTCTCCGACAGTGTCGCGGCCAGTGGGCAGCCGGCGGTGCCGCCTCCGACGACAATGTAGTCGTAGTACTCTTCCGGTGGCAACTGCGTCGCGTTCACCACAAAATTTAGATAACTGGGATCTGCGTAAATGTGAAAAAAGCTTATTGGAAATCAAGAAAATAAGTATAATGAGAGGGGCGGAGAGATCTTGGAGATGAACGTACTCTGTAGAGAGAGAGACTGGGGAATGGAAATGAGGACGGCGGCGATCGTCAAGAAAAGAAGTGTAATCCATTGCGCCATCGCTGCAGCACAGGTGGAACCCCCCAGAAGGAAAAATCTAGCCTTTTTTCGAGAATCTTTGAGGGGTGAAGATGGGGAGGTTCTTGGTTCAGCAGAAACTAGAAAGGCGTAGGGATGGGGGTAAGCAGCGGAAGTAGAGAGGAGAGCAGTATCTTTTTGGTGGGAAATTCAGTTGTATCGAAATTGATACTCGTGAGTGTGACATACAGAACGCTGCTCTATTTGGGTAGAATCGTTTCTGGTTTAAAAATCGTAGTAAGACAAAAAAAACTCTTTGTGTATTCTAAAATAAGGAGTAGAAAACATAGAAAAGGGTCCAATAAACCTTGTACTATTATGAAATAGTCCATGTACTTAATAAAGTGTCATATAAGTACATTTACTTGTAAAAAGCAATCAACTGAGTTTTAATGACAGATTTAAGACCTCTTACTTTCGGTTTCAACGTACTTCTGACCATCTTTTTAGAATACATTATACGGCATATGTCGAATGTTTAACTAAATATACGGCAGATCGAGCTGAGCATATTTATTGTTGCGTTTGTTGTATATTGTTGCTATTTATTGAAACTGTTGCATTTTGTTGTGCGGTGTTTCTTTTCAATTTTTTCATTTATTTTAGCTACCTCAGCACAATCTAACAATGCAACATAAAATGATACATTCAGATTTATGAATATTAACAACAAGAAACATGAAGAAACAATACAAAACAAAAATTTCAAAATTATCAACAAAAAGAAACACAAAGAAATCGTATGTAACCAAAACTAACGTACAATAAAGTTATTGCAATAATAATTAATTGTTTTATCTAATTTTGAAAAAGTTAAATAAAAAATCTCTACCTAATTTTTAAAAGTTTTATCAATTTTTATATTTTATATTTCCATTTCTACTTTTCACATTTTTATTTTGGATTTTTTAATATTTTGCACGCTCTTAAATTTACTTTAGTTTTCTGACTTTAAAAATTTGAAGAATATTGTTTTCTATTTTACCGTTTTTTATTTTTACTTTCTTATTTTCATTTTTTACATTTTTCTCTCTCATTTTTAATATTTTACATGAGTTCTTATTTAATACGGAGTATTTTTTCTGGTTTAAAAAACTATCTTTCATTGTGATTTATAAACTTTAAAATGATTTTATTGAACAATCTCAAATTCAGATTTATTATTTTTTATACTTTCAATTATGTGCATTCCATTTTTCTAAAACTTAATGTTTCATAAAAAATTCCTATGGCTTTCATATTTTTAAAAGTTCAAAACATTTTTATATCATTTTTCATATTTGGTCTATAATATTCAGGTTTGTTTATATATTTTTTACTATTTTTTTAGTCCCAAAAAAACCATTTTACTTTTTATAGAATTCTGATTTTTTATATATTTAAAATTGTTATATTTTTATATAAATTTCATTAATTATTTTAGAAAATTCATTACAAAAACAGTTTTTACTATTTTTTTAGTCCCAAAGGTCCATCCCAGCACGCAGGAGCTGTAACCTCCACACGGTCACTACGAGATTCGATCCTTGGTCATTTTTCTAACTTTCTCACCACTCAACCAACTGAGCTACCTATGAGGGTATGATCCCCAAATTTCAGAGTTTAGAAAAAGTCAACAATTATTTGTATATACAAGTGATTGAGCGAGAGCATAAAAACATACACTTCCTCTATACACCGATTGTTTAAGCAAATTTTTGATAAGCTTAAACCAATTAAAATGGAAATTGTATATTGATGGCTAAATGGTCAAATAGGTACATGAACTAACTTAAAGTGTTCAATTAGCCCCTTATATAGGAGGTTCTGCTCGGCCGTCGCCAATTGGGGCGGTTCCTGGTGGATTTTTTTTATGAAATTTTTTGAGCATCTTCTTCATTAAGTCTAGTTTACTCATACCAAATTTCAGCTAAAAATTCAACTGGGAAGGCAGTCAAATGATTTTTTGAAGATAACTGCTCAGTTAAACAGCGCAGTACATTTCGGAAAATCATTTGACTACATTCCCGATTTAATTTTTAGCTGAAATTTGATATGGGCAAACTAGACTTAATGAATAAGATTCTCAAAACAAATCATAAAAAAATTCCATCGGGAATCACCCCAATTGGCGACGGCCGGACAAAACCTCCTAAATAAGAGGCTAATTAAACACTTTAAGTTAGTTCATGTATATATTTGACCCTTTAGCCTATATTGATCGGGTCTCGTACAAGAGCGGTAATGAAAATGATCAGAACAACAAGAAAGATGTCAAGTAAGCAAAATAGAGTGAAATTTAGAATGTTGTTCGAATACGGAGCCTCCTCCTTACAATAGAGCTCGGTCCCACTTATAAAAGAGGTAGTTAATCCACTTTTGCTCATTATTATTGATGGCCGTTACGACGACATTCAAAGTTGTGTTTATGTCGTCATTAATATCGGTCAGCACTTTTGAGTAACTCATGTCTTAATCACATGAATACATGCAAAACCGTTATAATAATTAGGGAAAACTATCAAATAAGCCCCCGTACTATAACGAAAAAGTCGATTAGGCCCTCGTACTTTACAAACACTCAATTAAGTCCTCGAACTATTAAAAAACGTTCAATTAAGCCCTTTTGGTGGGTAAGTAACCGATTTCCCGGTTAAACGACGACGATGGCGACGATGTGCTCGAACCCCAGCAACGGCGGCTTCCGGGAAACAGGTTACATTTAACCGGGAAACCGGTTACTTACCGACCGAAAGGGCTTAATTGAACGTTTTTTAATAGTTCGAGGACTTAATTGAGTGTTTGTAAAGTACGAGGGCCTAATCGACCTTTTCGGTATAGTACGAGGGCTTATTTGATAGTTTTCCCTAATAATTATCTAACATTAAACCTAATAAATGCGTTATTTATCGTCGTGGTCAAGCCTCTTGAATGTAGAATAAGCTGTCAAATTTCTACCCCAAATCCAAGAATTGCTCAATCTTGAATGCCTTTTTTATTTCAAAATTGTTCGGAGTTATTTAGGGGTTTAATTTGTGTCCAAATTAACTTCTTAATTTGACTTTTGAGATCAACACAAACAGGTATTTATAAAACAACACAACCATAATAATAAAATACGGAGTAAATATTATACGGATAGGTGTATAAGTGTATCTAGTATTGATATAAAGGTGAATGTTATTATACAATAAAAAAATATTGAAATGAGTTTAAAAGGTTGTTTGGCCGCACTGAAATCGGTTGAACCGGTTAATTCTGCTGAAATTTATGAAGTTCTAGTTTATGTGGCTGTATTGGCTAATTCTGTTGATTTATGGGAAAAATATATAAAATATACTTCCTTCGTCTTGGAATTAACTTCTCACTTGGATTTCACACATATTAAGTAAATAAATTTACTAGGGAGTAAATTTTACTATTTTCACACTATTTCGACACTATTGTGCACTGTTTTGCACAGTTTTGCATTGTTTTGATGTAGATAATTTACCAAATAAGGAAGTGAGAAGTTAAATTCAGAACTGCCCAAAAAGGAAGTGAAAATTTAATTTCATGGAGTATTTTGTTAATAAAATAAAGAAAAAAATATATGAAAAATAGCTAAAATGATCATCTACAGTAACTTAAGCCGATATAGTCAGAAAAGTAACTATGACCATACTTTTTCTTATTATTACACAATTCGACACATGAAATCAAAAGTTACGTGTTTAATTAAAAAGTTGATAAACAAGTTGATAGATAAGTCGAAAAACAGAATCACCAAATGGGTCCTAAAAATCAAGTTTTAAAAAAAGTACTATCCTCCGTATCTCAATAATTGCAACATTGGAATATATACACTATTCATGTACTTTACTTTGACTACATTTTATTTATTAATGTATGTGAATTAATTTTTTTGAAAAATGTTGTTAAATTCGTCTCATTACTAAGTTTTATAATCTAATTTTTATTTTATTTTTACTAATACATAATTAAATATAATGACGGTCAAAGTTGTGTATTGGCAAACGTGAAATGTTGACTGTTGCAACTAAAAAGAGACGGAGGAAGTATATCATTGTCACGCATTAGACTTTATGCTACTACGTACGGAGTATAACATTAAAAAGAGTCATATAGGAGGTGTTTGGTCAGTAGCCTATCATCTATTTTTTGGCTGATTTGATCATCATTTAACGTTTTGACAAGAACAATCAGCTATTAGAGGTGTTTGGTTAATGGGGGTGTTTGGCAATTAGCCGTTGGCCGTTGCTGATTGTGTCAGCTCTTTGAACATTAGCTAATTCTGTTGGTTGTTTTGATTAGTCGATAGTATTAGCGGTTTATAAAGTGATGTTTGGTTAAAAAGTTGTTTACAATTAGCTGTTAGATTGTTAAATGACTTAAATAGTTGTTTGCAATTAGTTGTTAGATTGTTAAATGACTTCTAAGGACACCGGTCCATACATTATTTATCAACTATACATTAGAGGGCATGTCTGGGTTGTCTTCAACGAATTAAGTTACTGTCAAAATTAAAAAAAAAAAAAAAAGTAAAAGGCTCGAGAGTTATCAGATTAGCCTAACGAACACAGGAAAAGACCATTATATTAAAGGAGAAGCTTTCAATTTCTGACGAACACAATCATATACATACATACATATATATAGAAATAGAAAAAAAAAATAGAAAATTATTCTTCATCGAGAAGAAATAGAACAAAATCGAACTGAATTCATACAGAAGAAACAGATCGAACATTGCTTTAGGAGTTTGAATCCGGCCTTCCAATACATATGTAGAAAAATACAGAACGATTTGAACGAGAGCCGTACACAAAATTCATGTGAAGAGGAACATCTTGGACTAGTCAAATCTAATACCTTGATGTTCTGCTCAACCACCACTTTGATTCTTTTGGCTAGAAGATGCGAGTAAAGAGACGTGGATAGTATGAAGGGAGGGGCAGGGTAGAATTGGAATAATACGGCAGATACACGAACGGCCAACACAAAACGCTACACTTATGGGCTTTTTCATTTTTGGCTGTTTAAGATAAAAAGCCAAGTTAAAAAGCCATTAATCAAACACCACTAATAGCTCATTGATATGATCAAACCACCAAATATTAGTCAAACCAGCCAAAAAATGGCTGATTAGCCCCTAACCAAACACCCCCAATAGCTTTTTCACTTGG